TAGCAGCAGAGCAGATTCTGTGTTATTTGAAGGGCTCCCTTGGAAAGGGAATTCTATTTGCTAAGCATGGCCATATGAAACTTGAAGCCTACACAGGTGCTGACTGGGCCGGAAACATTGATGACAAAAGATCTACCTCTGGGTACTATAGCTTGGTGGTAGATAATATTGTCTCTTGGAGAAGCAAGAAACAATCAGTTGTTGCTCGATCTTCAGTCGAAGCAGAATACAGAACCATGGCTCATGGAGTTTCTGAACTATTGTGGCTTAGATCCTTGATGGAGGAACTAGGTATTGAGCATGATAAGCCAATGATGTTATACTATGACAATTAAGCCGCCATCAACATTGCTCACAACCCAGTGCAACATGGCATGACTAAGCATATTGAAGTTGACAGACACTTTAATCGAGAAAGCGTGGCTTCTGGAAAAGTGTGTCTACCTTTCATCACCTCTGAAGGATGGTTAACTGATTTCCTCACCAAGGGCATTCCCAAGGCTAAAATTCAGCATAATACTGGCAAACCTAGCATGATTGACATCTATGCTTAGCTTGAGGGGGAGTGTAGAGAAGATAGGCCAAATGGCCCATATGTTGTTTATCCTTTTTTATCTTTTATGTTCTTTGTTGTAATGGTCATTAATCTGGGCTTTATTCTTTCTTATATTATGTTTTTTTAATTTTCTGTCCAAGTAGGGGCTTCTCTGTAAATTCTTAAAGTTTAACTTAATGAAATAGAATTAAGGGAGTAAGAGAAGAGATTTTGTTAGAAAATCTCTCTCTCTGAACCCAAGTTGCCGCTACCTTCTTTTTCTTCTTCTCTCATCTTGAACTCTGATTTCTGCTACTTTCTTTTGAATTTTTGTAACTTTCTAAACATTCCTTCTTCTCAAAAGGCTGTTTTTCTTCTGATCGCAAACGTACTTAGAACGATTGCGATTCTCGGATTCTCGAGGGTTGGATCTTGATACACTGTTCAATGCAACAACTTTAGGGTTGGGCAGTCCTCAAAGGGAGATAGACATCTGGTGCCATTCTTCTTGGATCACAAGAGAATATGCCTTGTTCAAACTCGGTAGTGGATCCAATCCTAGAACGTTCGATCGGAAGATGTTGAAAGATTCATTCAAACTCATCAAGAATTGGTGGAGTTTTTTTTTCTCACGGTCCGCGATGAATTGTTTCAAAGCTCCGCAGGTATACTGAGGCAGATCGGTGAGGCTTCTGAGTTCATCCCATAACCCTTTGAGTCTTGTGAAATAACCGGCTATGGTTAGGTCTCCTTGTTGTAGCATTGCCAAGTCCCGTTTCAATTGATGGATCCGTGGGATGTTGCTCTGTTCAAATCTCTCCTCTAACTCTTTCCAGATCTCAGAAGCCGAGTCAATGAAGGCTACACTCTCATGGAGTTCTTTCCCCAAAGAATTAAACAACCAAGAAACCACCATTGAGTTACCTTTAACCCAAGCATCCTCGTCTGGTGATGTTCTTGCTGGCCGTGGCATAGATCCGTCCACGAACCGGTATTTGTTCTTGGCTCTTAGTGCATTTCTCATGGCTTGCTGCCATGTCGGGTAATTATTTCCGGTCAAGGGAAAGGATAAAAGGATGCTTCCTGGATTAACGGATGAGTGTAGGTAGTAAGGAGAGCTTGGATCAGATTCCATGGCCGTATTGGAAGCAAGGCGGGTTTTGATAATGATGAGAACAAAGAGGATGAACCAGGAGGGAATTACAGGTTGTTTTAGCGGCAAAAGGTAATAGCAGCGGAAGGGATTACATGCTCTGATACGTAACCTTATTGCAAATGTTGTAAGTTCATCATAGAGACAGGAAGGCTGAATATGTATTTTCTCTTGCATTAATTAATAATGAAATGAGGTATAAATACATTTGGGTCGATGGATAACCCAGTTACAAATTGCAACTAATTGGGTCAACTGGTACAAATGGTTTGTGATTAACTGCCACGTGAGTGTAAGCCAAGCCAGCTGTCCTTATTCTAATTCTAACACACTCTCTCTCTAGTGTGAAGGGACACAAGTCGTCCCAGTTTTTTTCAATTGAAAAGTGCCCCGAATACGTACTTCGCCGGTTACGAGGCTTAGCCCTGGCGCTGCAGACAGTTTCCTTTTTTATCCGAACTCAATCCATTGAATATGGATCCACCCTTATATGATCTGATTAATATTAATGATATGGGTATATATGGATCCACCCAGATCCAAATTCAGTTCAATTAAATAATGAAATTTGGATCTGGGTATATTGGTTCTAATCCGTTTACAGCTGTGCTTTTTTTCTTAGGGCGTCATAATTCATAGTCACGAGTAGAGACTAGAGAGAAACCTTCCCAAAATTAACAAGAGTTGCTCATCAAATTTTGATCGTTAATGATTATTTATTGAACCTTAGCTAGACCCGGCCAACTGTAAATACTCCTCTCCCAGCAGTATATAAGTTGTTGGCCTCATTAAACTTTCAACTGCCTCAACCATTTCCTTAATGTTGTATGTATCTTCGCACTGCAGATTTATGATAATAAATTCCATTTATTTCTGCTATACGGAATGACAAGTTCAAACCCCAAGAAATGAAATTTCTGGGATACAATTTAGCCATCTTACTAATTAATAAAGGTCGATTGAAGCTAAACCTGACGGAATTTTTTTAAGCTACGAGTACCCAAGAAGCCCGGATGGTCTGGGCTGGTTTTGAGCCCAATGCTTGAGTCATAAACCAGTACATAGATGGCTTCTTATTGTAAGGCAATTAGCAACACAATTTGGGGACAGAGATGGGTTTAGGGGCCTTAATTAGAGAGAGAGAGAGAGAGAGAGAGAGAGCTATTAAATATTAATTAATAAAGTAGAACAAGCTGAAACCTCAAGTGGGCGTGTCCCAAGGACCAACAGATTGGGATGGCTACCGACCTATTAAGTTAAGTTGTGGTTCAATCAAATTAACCAAATCAAATGCTTGAGAGAAGCAATTAACCAGTAACCATTTGTTTATCATTATATATCAAACAGATGAAGCATTTGGGTGCCATATCATCGCTTGCGGTGAATGCATCCGATGACCTCTTGTACTCGGCTTCTATTGACAAGACAGTGAAGGTATGGAGGATTTCTGATCTCAAATGCATCGAAACCATCGAAGCACATTCCGAACCCATCAACGCTGTGGCAGTAGGAGATGACGGTGTCCTCTACACCGCCTCGGATGATGCAACCATCAGAGTGTGGCGACGGAATTTCTGTAGCAGCGATCGACCACACTCCCTAACCGTAACCCTCCCAGCCAAGAACTCCCCGGTGAAGGCACTGGCTCTGACCGCAGATGGTGGGGTGCTGTATGGTGGGTGCACAGATGGGTATATCCACTACTGGCTCAAAGGCTGGCTGTCGGGCCAACTACAATATGGAGGGGCCCTCAGCGGGCATAGTCACGCTGTGATGTGTCTGAGCAGCGTGGCCAATTATGTGGTGAGTGGCTCGGCCGACTCGACCAGCAGGGTTTGGATGAGAGAAAGAGATGGTCAGCACACATGTCTAACTGTGTTGCAAGGTCATAGAGGGCCTGTTAAGTGCGTCAGCGCATTCACTAGTGATCGTGGAGGAGGAGGTGGAGCTGGGGATTGTGAGGATCGTTGCACCGTCTGCACTGGGAGCCTTGATGGAGTCCTCAAGCTGTGGCAGGTCACTTGTATTACCTCCACCAATGTGGCTCGGAATTCCAAGCAATCTGGTCACGATTACTTTGACCTCTAAGCACAATGTACTTGTGTCCGTCTACGTCTACATCTAGCCCGGCCTCGGCCTATAACAATGTTTTCCGTTTTTACTTGTACCCAATTTTATTTATTACTTTGTTCTAACACCAACAGACATATATACGTTTGTTAATTTGTTGTATACACTCTATAGTTAGCTTAGTTGGTAAAACCATGTAAGTATATTATATGTATTCATACCAGAAAAGTGCGTTTGAATCTTCAAATCGGTTCATCTGTTCATCCATTCAGCATTCACCACTAAAACAAGGCTCTTGGATGCTAAAATTACATAGATGTTTAAGCCCCAGATGTTAAAGATACGTATCTGCAAAGACAGGTATTTTGGATTTTGCTTTAGGAAATAAAATTGGGTTCCCACTTCCCAGCAGTAGAGAACCAAGATCCTCCTAGATGGGTCAAGTTTGTTCTGTTCTGTTGGGTTTTATTTTTCTATTGGAGTTGTAAGAAGCCTGTTGTGAAGTTCCGGTCTACTGGGCCTGAGTTGTTGTAGGCCCAATTGATTTTCCTTGGGCTGTCAGCTGTCTGGGGTTAGGTTTCTGTGGGTTGAGCCCTAGATTGGGCTATGAGCCCCAGAAGTTCACAAGTTTCTCATGCTTTTGAGGACCCGGGCACAGACCCTTAGATGATTCTTGAGGTTTCCCAAATGGTATACAAGTGATGAAACGACGGTTGAATATGTAGTACTGAAGATAACCACAGAAGGTATACAACTTTCTCTTTATAACATATAATAAGCAGACACCATTTATTAATTTCACAACAATAGCTGCCGAAGAAAATCTAAGGACGCGACATCCGACTCATCGGGTTCAGCCAGCCATTTTCATGTATCACACGCTTATCATCATCCACACAATCGAAGATGTGGATCGCCGGGTGTGGCCACAAAGCTTTCTCTCCGCCGGTGTTCTCTTTACGAGCATTCGCTGCAGCTGGGTTGGGTTTTCCATCTGCAGCTCCATCCTCCCATCATTTGAATTCTCATCGCTTCGAGTCTCTTCCCTCTTCACTAACCGGAGAAGGATGTAACAAAGTATTCGAAGACCCAAAACGATCCCAACGATCATCAGCGCTGATAGAATGTAATCCGTAGCAGAACGAGCATGTTTGCATCCAAAGATAATTCCAACACATGCCATGTTTTAACTAAGAAGCATACATGATGGAAAAACCTAGCTAATAGGTAACCCAGAAAGGAATGAAATAGTGTTTTGCTGGCCTCCTCCTATATATAAATGATGCAGATTTCATTTAATCAATCATCTTTTTTTAATTTGTATTCTTAGCTTTCCTGGGAGAGTTTGGTGAACCTAACTAGTATCAAGTTTGGTATAACTCCTGTACAGGGGCAGTTGAGAATACGGGGAGGGCATCTTCATCTTTTCATCTTTGGTGATAACGTACCAAGTAGTGAATGACTGGGGGTTTACAGTTAAAACAATAAAAGAAGCCCAGAATTTGGTTTGTGTGTTTTCTTGTGCCAGAGAGGCAGAGACTGAAACCTTTCCGTGCTGACGAGCTGGGTCACCCAGCTTCAATTTTGGTTGATTTGTGAGAAGGACGGGAGAGGCATTCACACTTGTCGTTGTTTGTGTCTGGGCTTAGTACTAGGCCTGCTGTGATTAAGATGGTACATGGTAGATTGTCCTTCTTGGGTTGGTATACCAATTTGGACCTGCTAGCTAAAACCGTTTCCATGACATCTCTCCTGTACCAGTTTGGACCTGCTATTGCCGGGAAACTAGCTAGACCTGGCCGAGGCCGACTTCATCTTGTCAGATATGCTACAAAGTACAAACAACACGATTGGGTCTGAGTTTTGGGCTTTGTGCTGGGCCTGAGAGAAAAAAAAAAAAAAAAAAAAAAAAAACGAAAAACTCAGGCCTTGGGCTTGAATCAACATAGAAAGCTATTATGTTGGGGATGAACCAACTTTCCAACTTGAATTAGGAAACAACACAATTGAGAATTATGATGGGAGTCAGCATAGACCAAACTGCAAAATTTATGTTTTTTTTAATATTTAAACTTATATGTTTACCCCTTTTCCTGAGCAGAGGTTAACCTTAGTCGTGTGTTTGAACTGTGAAGGAGAGTCCCACTTACCTTGAGGGCTTTGCTTTAATTCGTAGTAGGAAAGCCAGTGGATGATAGGTTTGGGGGTGAGAGAAAATAATAGGACAAATAATAGACAATTTTAAGAAAGAAAGATTTTCAAGTGGAGGAAGAAGGAAGTACAAATTTTAGGAATTGGTAATTGGAAAAGTTAGCAGAAGGACTGAAGTGTAGAGAAAGGTTATGTCAATGTGATAGACAAAAGAAAGATTGAAAGAAAAACAAAAAACGAGAAAGGGATCACGTGTCATTTGTAAATGACAATTTACGAATTTCCTTGAAAAAGATGGAAGAGCCACATTATCATCTCCATGCTAAAATATATAGTATAGTAGTTGATGTTTTATTGGTTCGAGGGGATTCTCATCTCAGAAAATGTAAATTCTCATATTTAATATGTTAGTTTATTTAGTCATAAAAAATTTAAAAGAAAAAAACAAAACATCAGATGGGAAGGGTGAACAAATAAGTACCTATGAAATGTGATTCACACCATGTTAAAAAAGAGTGATGATCGGGTCCACGTCCACCGACGAGTGAGTCTACCGTGGTCCAAAGTTGCCAAATTCATGACCATGTGAGATGTGATATCATTACTGTTTAAATGGAACCATCTTTTGTGAGACATTATTATTATTGTTGTTGTTGTTGTCGTCGTCGTCTGATGCATCAGACAAATTTTAAGTAATTTGGACAAGAAGAATTGTGGAATCGCATAAGCTTAACACAATGGGCTGGATTCTCCTGGTATATTTGGGGTCTAATGTTTCGGGCCAATGACTCTGATATGTCATTTAGCATTTTAGCCACTCATTTTGCTGACTTTACTTTTGCTACGATGTGATTTCAGTGCAGTATTAAAATTGAGATATCTAGGCCATTTTTTATAAATTATTTATTTATGTTATCTTATTTTCCAGGTGAATAAGACTATATGGCCGTTTTAGTCATAAAATGCCATTATGTGAAAAAGTTATTTATTCAGGGAAAATAATTTTTTTTGTGAATCCCACATAAATCTAAAAAGAGAATATAAATTACTTAGTCAATGAAAACTAAAATCTCATTGACCATCTTTCCCATCTCTCAAAATCCAAAAAAACAAATGAAGTAATTTAAGGTGAAGCCACAATAACACAAGGGAGGCTTTTGATTTAATGGTTTTAGTGCCGCTCCAAAACAACATTTTAGCAAAGGTCGTTAGCTATTTTGGCACATTAGACTCGAATGCAGTGCTTATTAGAGGCCCTTGGTTCCCTCCGAGGTGCCATGTAGCCTGCTGGTAAAATCTCTAGCCGGTTGTCTTTGAGACTTGAGATCAAGTTCTCCATTCACTTGGGTTGGGGGCCTAGAGGTTTTGGGGAGGGCTATCCCCTGTTTTATATCTCATTACCAAAAGAAAATAATAATAATAATAATAATAATAATAATAATAATAATAATAATAATAATAATAATGAACTCACTACAAATATGCCTTCAGAAGCCATTCCTAACCAGAAGGTCCATGGCAGATTTCATTTTTAGGCTAGAGCTTGAGATTTAAGTTTGAGTTGGGCATTGTTTCTCATGTCAGGTAAAAAAAATAATAATTTTAGGAACTGTGTTTGATTTACAGTTGGAATCGGAATTGTAATTAGAATAAAAATCTCCCCATATCAGAATTGGAATGATCTATTTCTACAGTTTATTTAGTTCAATCAGAACTAGGAATAGAAATTGGAATCAATTAGAATGGGATTTCATTCTCAAGAAAATGGGAGAGAATGACTATCCCATTAGACCATTCCATCGGAAATGGAAATAAAATCCCAATTCTCCTTAACCAAACAGTTGGAATCAGAATGATCTGATTTCAAACCTCTATCCCCACAAACCAAACCAAACCAAACGGACCCAAGACCCTTGGGTCAATGGAATTTTGTTTTGGCCCGTTAGTCGTTGCTAACAATGTGGCCTACAAGGTCAAAGTTGTCAAGAAGATACAAAGCAGAAAACATATATATGATGGCGATCGATGACCTGAGAAAGATCCATATTTATTCCAATCCACAAATAAAAAGAAAAATAAGAATACATAAATTAATTAAAGTAAGACCCCTTTAATTTTGATCATCCAAAGTAGAACCAGTTTTCCATAAAACCAATTTAGTGTTCAAAGTTTGAACATACGTCGCAATCCAGAAAAGAAAAGTTTGAATTGCGTCCCTGTAGAATTTTTGATATGCTGGTCAGTGCATGGTTTATTTAATCAATTTAGGGTGGAAAATAACACAAGAAAGGATGTAAGTGTATTAAACTAATCCGGGTTGGGGTTGTCGATTTGTAGGGAAGAAAAGAGGTACATTGCTGGTCTCATCATCTGATGTTGATAATGATATTAGCACATGCATTCAATTTCAATCCCCATGGATCGGTCATCACTGGCTGGTTAATCGTCATTCTGATAAACAGTGTACGTTTTACTAATTTGTGAGGGATTAACTAATGAGACAAAATTAAACCTCCATGAAATGAATTGATTTCTATCTATAACTATATTAAATTAAATGGTTCACATCTTGAATTCCATGTTTGGATGGACGACTGTTGTGTTCAATTAATCCAACATGATCGATAGATGAGTTTGAAAGCAAATAAAGGGAACATTTTAGTAAGAAAAGTCACTGCAGGTTGGCTTGACTAAATGACTAGCTAGTTTTGTTTTCATTAATTTTCTGTTCCTCGATCTGTGTAAGTGTATGTTGGGTGTGGTGGCTCAAAAAAGTAAACTGATCCTCCATTATCATCACGTAACCTTTAATGATTTAGGATTTAAGATTTAGGATTTAGGAATAAACCTGAACTCTGCTCTCAAGTCAAGAGACGTTTTTATTGGGGATTTGCAGCTAGCCATAGTAGCTTAAGCTTGTTCAAGCTTACCATGAGAAAATCAGGTAATCACCATGCGTCACTGTTATTGAGAAATCTGCCTTGGATGTAAAAAATTAGTTTCCTTCTTTATGAAATAGTTCTGATTCAAAAGATTTTCACTTAATTTATTTTATTCTATTTTTAATTAATTGAT